TGATTCATAATATATATATACAATCAATTTTTGGATAAATTGCATTATATTAATGGTATATAAGCCATAAATTAAGATTTATTTAATTAGGATATGCTACAAACAAGATACTAAAGAAATAATCAGAAATTTGAGTTATGTTATGTAAAAAAGCCAATGAAATTCAAATAAATTAAATATATTAAATTATTATGAATAATAAAAAAGATCAAAATCTAACTGCCTAAGGGACATAAATTAAAGGAGCCGCTAAATAACCAACTCATTAAGTTCAACAATAGAAACCTGCTCAAAGTCATCCAGTTTAACATTAGCCTGCAAATAAATAATAATAATAATAAAAACCAACAACTTAGCATCCTACAAATACTAAGACTCAAACAAAATAATAACCATAATAATAATAATAATAATAAGCTAAACCTCAATAATAATAATAATAGTAATAATAAGTACAACAGGTAGCTCCAAAAAAATTAGAACCTAAGAGGACTATCAAACTTTAGGCTATGTTAGGTGCAATGGATTAAGATAAAGAAGAAGGAAAAATTAGTTTTTTGATAGATAAAACAGGTAAATAATAATCAAATAATATTTAGGAAATGCATATACATTTTTTAAATACAAAGGAACCATTATTGATATTTCATCGTTTGTGATTACTGAATAGAATTAAGGAAAAAATCATGAAGAAAATGTTGAAAAAGCCAGAAAATGTGTAGTATATGGTTTAGAGGCTGGTGATAATTTAGTATTCTCAACTGATATTGCAACTACAAATTTGAATGAATTTTTCAAGTAAAATGTTAATTTAATTTAAGGTCTGATTGGTACAAACCAGAAGCAATCTTTAATTATGAAGAAATCACTAACCCAAAGTATTTTAGAGCTCATCTTTTAAAACCTGAAGAGGATAAAGATGGATTTGGAAATAAGGGATAATTTTGGCCAAAAAAAGAATTACATATAGCCTTATTGTATACTTAAAAAGAAGGAGAATTTGATTTTGAATAACATTTGAATAAATTGGGATTGGATAAATTGAAAAATCAATTTATTGTAACAATTATTGAAGATTGATTTATTAAATCATATATGAAAAATATACAAAATAATTTAATTATTCAATATAAATAAACTTCTTTTTAGAATCAAAGCTTTATAGATTAATTAATCATTTAAATTAATTTTAACTTAACAATTTCTAACATTAATTAGTTTTGATTTAATTGTTCTATTGTCTATATAACTATTAATAACAAAAAAGATCAAATTGATATTTAAAGGTAATAATATGAATTATGAACAGGTTTATTTATTTTAATAATTTGGAATTTATTTTTACATGAACTTGTTCAGCCATGATGAAATTAATTTATTGGAGGTATCCTAATAGAGGATTGCTAGGCAGCATAAGATGGAAAGTTAGAATTCATAAAAAATCAGTTAACGTCTTTGACATCTAGACAATTATAGGATGCTTGTAAGAAAACAGATTATTATGGCAGAAATGCATTACATTATGTACATAAACCACTATATTAGGCGGCATACCGAGGACATTACAATGTAGTTGAATATTTTCTTGATTTATAATGCATAAATATTAACTCATCAGATAATAAGGGTAAAGTTTCATAAACTATTATTGAGGTAACACAGCATTAATGCTTGTCTGTGTTCGTGGGTATAATTCAGATATAAATACTTTGAAGGATGGTTAGAAATTTGCTATATGTTCTTTATTAATTGAAAGAGGAGCATCAGTTGAAAAATATAAGAAATCAGGAATAAATAATCCATTACATTGGGCTTGTTTCTTTGGAGATCTAAAAACAACTAAATTATTGATGTACATAGAACCAAGTTTAAGTAATCATATTAATTAATTTATAGTGTTATTTACTAATGATAGAGATTAATTTCCAATTGATTTATCACTTATGACAGGTAAAGAATTGGATGATAGAGAAGAAGATGAAAAAGTTTTAGAATATATGATAATGAAATTTTTGGCTTAATATCTTGATAATGAAGAACATAGGAAGAAATTAGATATTCCTGATGAAGACTATGAAACATTTAAAAAATTAAATAAACACTCATTAAATCTTAAATCCACTAAGTAATTAGCTGAGGTGGGTCTTAGATATTTGTTTTGGGCAAGTACTTAGGGTAGATTGGATCTTGTAAAACCTTTATTAAAATGTAAATATTCACCTTTTGAACCATCATATAAGGGAAGAAATGCTCTACATGCTGCTGTCTATCACAATAGATTAGAATTAGTAGTATTTTATTTAGAATCAGAAGAATCCAAGATATTTCGAAATGATAATGTAATCAATCTTATGACAAAAGATAAACCTTAAACTGCTTTACATATAGCAGTTGAGAGAGGTCATATAGAAATAGCTAAAATATTAATAAAAAAAGGAGCAGACCCAAATTATTATAATTTTAGAAATCATAGAGCTTTTGATTAATCTAGATTAAATGAAATAAAATAACTTAAGAGAGAACTTTTCCATAATGATGAAAAGAATTATTTAAGATCTGGATACAATCATATATTAGTTGGTTGGTAAAAGAGTAAAAATTAATTATTGGAATAATAATTTAATAATATTTAAATTAAAAAGAATATTGAAAAAGGATAATTTAAATATATTTCTTATGAATCTATTGATAAAGAATATACATATTATTGTTTAAAGGTTGATGAAAGACTTAAAAATGTAGTAGCTGATGAAAATAAGATGATGATTTATAATTCAAGAGAAGGATATTTGTCTCCTTTTAATTTAAATATTTAAGATTAATTTGAAAACTTTCATCATATCCATAATTAATAAATTCTTCTTACTTTATTATATGATGAATTTGATATTGAATAATTTATAAGTGATGGATTACTTTTAGAATAGTTTCCTGTTCATGATGAAGAAGAAAAAGAATTGATTATTAAATTTTGGAAAAATGAAAGAATAAATATCTTATTTGAACCATTTTAATTAAAAAAATCAAGAAGTCGTACTTTTAGTGCCTTATCATCCTATTTTGGACCAGAAATAGGATTTTTTTTCGTATTTTTATGCTTTTTTTCTACTTGGTTATTTTTACCAGCAGTACCAGGATTAGTCTTAGGAATATATTCATTTATTGATGAAGAAGCCATTTTAGCAGTTTCTCCAATCTACACTTTATGTATGGCTGTTTGGGCTACTATCTTTTTTGAATTTTGGAAGAGAAAATAAAGTGAAACTATGTATAATTTTGATATGCATGTTACTAAAGAATAAAGAAGAAATATCCCTTAATATAAAGGATCATTCATAATAGAAGATGTTACACATACAATTGAAATAATGGATACAAGAAATGTATAATGGAAATACTTTAAATCAAATACTCCTTTAGTAATTTTAGCAATAATTTTAATTGCTGGATAGTAAACAGGGTATTATTATCTAAAACAAGTATATGAAGATGACGAGTTTTATTAAACTCTTTGGCCTTGTCTTTTAGCTTTCACAGTATTAATTACTAATGAAATTTTCAATTTCTTTGCTAAACATACATTAATTTATGAGAATCATCAATTCCAAGATGAAAGAGAAAATGTTTACATCTTAAAAGTATTTGCTTTCACTTTTCTTAATTCTTTTGGTCGACTTTTTTATAGAAGTATAATAAAACCTGATAAAGATGAATTACATCTTTTCAGCATCTCCTTTACAATAATATGGTCTGTTGTTCATCTTATTAGGTATACTATTTATCCATGGATATCTTTTACATTCATTAAATTAAAATTCAATAGGGATTTCAATAAATATAAATAACAAAACAATAAATCAATGAACACACTATAAAAAATAGGAGATACAGAAACAAGTGGAATCAATAAATCATTTGATAAGGGAATATCTTCTTCATATTTCCTTTAACAAATTGAATTAAATAAAAGGATGATAGATCCACCAGATCATGTTGAATAGTTCACTTATTTTGTAATTTTAATATTAATATTTAGATGACATAATTTTGTATGGTTACAATGTTTAGTGCAGGTTCCTAAATAATACCAATCATTACACTTTTTTTTAATTTACTAAATATAGAAGGATTATTGTATGGATATAGAAAATTTGTTAAGAGACCTTTAGCAGAACCAAAAAAAAATATAGGAGTATGGAATGACATTTTATAATTAATTGGTTATATTGGTATTGTTTCAAATTGTTTAACTATATACCAAGCTAATTAATCATAGTTAAATTACTTGGTAGGAGCTGATGATAGTTCTGATCAAGATTAAACTAATGTAATTTATAACTAATAATAGCTCGGATTGAGAAACTTTTTATTATTAATTGTTGCTGAACATATAGTTATTGGAATTAAATTTGTAATCGAAGGAGTGATTCCAGATGAGCCTGAATGGGTTGAATTAGTTTTGAAAAAAGAAGAATATCTATCAGAAAAGAATAAATCTAATGGCAAAAAGAATGATTCATAAATTAAAGCCTTAGAAAATAAAGTCAAAAAAGATTGATCTTTATAATATATATATTGAATATTTAATTATGTTTCTCATTAATCTATATACTCATAAATTCATCTTAAAATAAGAGTAATAATAATATTAGATTTAAAATATTTTGAGATTTATAATATTTAGCTATCTAAGTTTAATAATATTTAACTATTTTTATTTAGATATTCAATTATGCTAATTAGTTTAGCTATTTATGCATTTGATGTATTTTATTAATTTTTAAATATTTAAATCAAAGAAATGGAATATATGTTTAAGTTTTAAATTATTAAAAATTAGTATTTATATATTAATATATTTTCTATAAATTAATAATATAAAAAGAATAAATGAGTTGATTCAAATTCTATTAATAGATGATACTAAAAATAAAAATTTTAATAAAAATCATGATTGTAAATAATTTATTTTTTAATTAAAATAGTTTTAAATATGAATATCAATTTTATGTCTTCATTAATTTATGTTATTCATCAAGAAGGATTAGAATATCTGAACTTAAGAATTTATTTGAAATTAATGGAACTTAAGTTATATCAGAATATTTTTCTTGATTTTTATTTCTTGAAAATTTGATTTATTGTCTTTCTAAAAATTATTGTAAAGAACTTGGAGTTATGATACTGAAATCATTAGTTAAGCTTTTCTATTAAAAGAATGAATTCATCTCTGTTTTAAAGATTTCAATAGCCTATTAGTTACTTAATTTGCTTAGTATTTGAAATTACTTTTTTTAAAGTAGCTATTTAATCATTTATTCTGTTTATTCTCTTACATAATGATCATTATCTTTAAGACCCTTATACTCTGTAATTTCTTCTCCTATATTTGCAAGACTTTATTTTCTTAAATATAAACCAATTATTTACATTTCATCAACCATAAATATTTATACTTAAGAGACTACGTTTAATATTTTATCCCTTTTGTCTTTTTTTTGAACTCTTCCTTCATTTTTATAAACTTTATAAATTGCTTTTATTGTCGAGATATTATGTCCTGTAATCATAGAGACCTTGGCATAATTAAATATTATACATGAGACGTCGAGTACTTATATTCTTTAATATACTGAATGATAAGTTCTCTTTCACTAGAATTAATGCTTTAATATTTTGATCTATGGTTTTTCTACTTTTTAATTTTCATTATATAATAAATCAAAATGGCAAATCCTCAACAAAATGATTCTTAAAGTTCAATAAACTATTCATAAATTAAATATAGGATATTTTCTAACATATTTGGAGATTTATAAAATGGGATTTTTTAAATAAAAGATTTTTATAGTTTTCATTGTTATTCTGAAATAATCTTGGAAGTATTTTTTATTAAATAAAAGGAGGGATTGTTAATTTGATTATAAAAATGAGGAAAAATTATTAAGACTATGTTGTTAGCTTAATTATATTCTTAATAAAAGATGAAAATGTGATAATTTTGTAAATATATAAGTCTTATTTAACTTTACAAATTCTTAATGCATTTATTTATGATTTTAAATGTTCTAAACCAACAATTAACTACAACATTTCATTAAAATAAGTAAATACAGATTTATGATTAATTTAATCCGTAATTTAGAATTCATAATAGTATGTAATGATAGTAGATGATAGGGTTATAATATTTTATTGATCGATCATTTTCTAAATTAAACTTTCGTGATTTCAACTGAAGTAGCTAATATTATTGTTTATTTCGTTTAATACAATCTAAGTTTTAAATGCTCACTCTAACATTTTTACAATTAATTAGAAATACTCCATACTTCCTAATTAATTTTGACTATTTAAAACTATAATAGAATGTTAATTTTAAGTTCAACTTTCATTTTTATATTTAATATTTTATTAAATTGAATTAATAATAAAATAAAGTATTTATAATTTAATATAAATTGCTTTAATTATTATTATTAAAGACATTTTTTGGACTTTTCTATTTAAAATCCAAATATTTATTGAATGTTGTTTGAAACCTTTGATAATAATTGTTTTGTAAAATAATGAATATTATAATTAATATTTAAATTAAATAATTTAGATATTGAAATGGAATTAATTAAAATCCATTCAAAACAAAAAAATAATATGATAATATATCAATTATTATTTTAATTATTCATTCCATACCAAATACTCCTTCGAGATCATTAAGAACAATAGATCTCAAATATTTTCTCATCATTTCTTAAGTAGTGTATTTTGGAAGTTCAAGCCTATTGAAGCATGTGTGAGCAATTGGGAAAGAATTGGCATTTTTATAATCAATAGGAACGATTTAAAATTTTGAATACATTCCCCTATTAGACTCAAGTTTACTAAAGCCACTATAAAGTTCAATATTGAATTATATACTTAACCGGAATTCTATAAGAACCAGTACAATAATGTAAAAACTTCTTCAATTAATCTTGATCAAATTCAGATAATATCTTCCAAAACCATTGTATTTATTGAGAATTTTCAGCATATGGTGTTTTATATGTTGTATGTTATCTCCATTCAGTTAAATCTACAACAGGTACACCATAAAGTATCATTTCAAATTCTTCAGCTGTAAAAATATTCAAATAATCTTTTGGAATATATTTATATAAAGAATTTTAGATTTGAGTTAGTTATTTTGATATTAATTTTTCACTATAGAATTAAATACTTAATAATAATAATTATAAAATACTACCTTAAATCTACAAATTCTTATTTGTTTTAGTTTGTTACTAAAATATCAGCTCCATTTTATTTTAATTCAATTATCTCATCATCCTTACATATGATAAAATATTATTATAATTGATTTTCATCAAATTAATTTTCAAGTAAATATTTCCAACTCAAAAACAAACCTTTATCATATAATTACATATCTTAAAATGATATTTCTTAACCTAATAATTTCTTAACTAAAGGTCTATCAAATTCAACACAAATAGTCATTCTTTCAAAAAGAGCCTTTGCTATTGCTAAACCAGCTAAATCAAAATATTGACTTTATTTAGCTATCTTATATGTAACTTCATTGGTTTCAGTCAATGTAAAAATGTCTTTACACATTTCTTTAAAAATTAATGTTAACCATTCTCTTAATAAACCACCTGCATCTTATACTTTATCGTTCTAGAATACTACTTTTACTTCTTTATAAAAATTAACACTTCTAGCTGAAATAAGAGAAGATTATAATAAATCATTAAGATTTACATTTAATTTATCAGATCCTAATTACCAAGGAATACGAAATTTTTCAAGTTAAAGATTGAACCACATTTATTTTTCAGAAAAAGATCTGTTTTTAATTTCTTGAACACTTAAATTCTACATAAATTTGATATAATATTACTTATATCTACCCACCATTAACTTAAGATAATATTCTTTTCCATTGATTGTTTTACTTAACCCAAATATAATTATCACCTAATTAATCTTAGGTTTAAGGCATTTGAAATTCAATATTAGGTATTGGTTATTAATGTAATAAACAATGGTCTATATGACTATTAAGTACAAAGTATGTAGTAGAAGGGCCAAACTTACGATCACAATTTGGACATTTGGTTTCTTAACCAATTTTTGAATGTTAATTATTTGAACTTCTATTCCCCATTTATAGAAACTTATAATAATCAATTTAGGGGATTAAAATTCATAAACAAATATAAAATAAATTATACTATAGATATATTTATGTTCTTAATTCTCAAACTATAGTTTAAGTGATTTAGGAATCACATAAATCAGCTTCTTCCACAGTTTAATTTAAATTACAAATTGGTCTTGGAGGAAAACCTGAAATTAACTAAATTTATTTTTAAGGAGGTAAATTCATCATTCTAAATACTTAAATATTTTTATTTACTTTAAAAGATGTTATTGAATGACTGTCACTCTAGTTGTAGTATTAACTGTTAATGTTATTGTATTACCAGTTGATAGTCTTACCATAATATTTGTTATAGGTTGATTAGGATCAATTTGTATTTATCCTTATTTACTCAAATCAACTTTAACTTGTTATTATTATTAAACAAATTATTATTAACCCAAACTAACTCCTGATCCACTGAATTCTACATATTTAGGTGGAGGAGGTGGTACATATTTTTCTGATTTTCTATCTTCCAATTTTACACTCAATCCTTTTGGATATTTTGATCTCAAAACTGTTGGTACTTAACTTTCTATTAAAAATTTCAATTACTTTTATTTTAATTCTGCTATGAATTTCTTATTTTCTGGATCATTTATATCTTTGAATTCTCCATCATTTATTTAAAATCCATTATTCCATAATGTAATTTTACACCATTCTTTTGGATCATCATTACCATCTGGTTATGCACCTCCTTCTTTTCTATATGCTTTTTAATAGATTAATACGCCTTATTGATCAATTCATTGTAATCATCAGGATTTTCAATAGAAAGTCCACTTATAAATTTATTCTTTAATAATACCTTTTTTCACCTCCAGCATAAGAATTACTAGTTTTCTATTTTTTTTCATCTTTGTCATTTTTCTTCAAATCATCTAAAGTTTTAAACATATCCCAATATAATACTAATATTTAATAAAAATAATAATAATTCAATCATAGCATAAAAGTAACTATTTTGCTAAACTTGATAGATATTCATTTTAAGACATAAACAAAAACTCTACCTTATAATAAAATTAATATAGTTACCTTATTTTTATATTTAGAAAATATATTTTAATATACATCATCTCTCATTGTATCTCCAAATTCTAATACTCTTTTAATATATTTTAGTATAACAATAGAATTATTATGATTATCTGAATTTAAATTTAGTAATTAAGAACAATAATAATTTTCATCTACAAGTTATGGATAATCATGTAAAAATTCATCATCTTTCATTAAACATTCTAAAACATTCAAACATTTTTCAGTGTATTCAATATCTAATGATATTTCTATTATCTAATTTAAAACATCTTTTTAGCAAACATAAAATTATATATCTTCCTATTCAACTACATTATAAAATAAAGTTAATAGAGATTTAATACAATTTGGATTTTTTGTTGTTAAAAATAAATTACATATAAAACTATTAATTTCCTTTTGTTAAAATATTTAATAAAGTAAAAAAGAGTCTTTTATTTCTTGTAAAATCCTTAAGATTATAAATGTAAGATTATCATCATTCTTTAACACATATCTAATGGCATGAAGAACCAAATGATGATTACTAAATTCCATTCTTGAAGTAAGAATATAAGTACATTGAAATGCTATATATTAAGGCATCAATTAACACAATGTTTCAACTAAATAATTACTCATTATTGACTTAAATTCAACAATTTTAACACAAATATGCACTAATAATTTTTTATATGTTTCTTCTAAGATAATATTAATATTTTTATTAAGTATTTGTAGTAATTCATCATCTTTCATTAAATATTCGAAAACATCAATATCATGATCTGCTAATAAATTTTAAATGATTTCAAGTGCAAATTCATTATATACTGGATTTCTAATATCAGTATATAGTATTTTTAAAAAATCAAAATTTGTATCAAATAGAAATCTAGATCCAATTTTATCTCCTAAAGTAAGATTACAAAGAATCCAATAAATAGTTATTCGATAATTTTGTTGACAATTCAATTCAAATTATAATAGCAATTCATTCATTAAATCTTAGTCTACTAAATAATCATAATATTTATTCATAGCTTTTTGAAAATCATTTTCTATATTTTCATGAATGGCAATCATTTATTTTTTAATAATCTTAAGTTTATCATTCAAATCATGATCTTCTTATTCAGGTATAATGATTCTCTTTTTTTTCAGTTATTATTCGATGAACTCCTTTCTGATCACAGTTCTAAACTTTTCCCTCTTAATATTTAAAATTGATGAAGATTAATCCATTATATATATAATTGTGTTTTTTTTGGTATTATTATTATATCAAATTTAGATGGCTTATTTTTGGAATACATTTTAAGCCTTGTTGACATCGCCAACAGTGAATAAGTTTTATAGGTTGTTTACATCAACAGACTAAATTGATATTAGAAAATTATCATACTTATTATTATTCACTGAGAACTGAATCATCTACTACAAGACTATAATTGTCATAATACTTCAGAATC